ATTCTTCCTTAAAAAATGTTGCACAAAAAAATGATTGAAAAAGTAACAAGCTGAGCAAAAATTGGTGCATTTTAGGTGTACTTTCCTCTTCTGGTATTTTTTTACTCATATTACCACAATCATAATGCAACATTAAGTTGTGCCATTTCATTTACGAAAATCTACAGAATATTGTAACATAATTTAAAGCTGCGTAACTATCGCCGTTCGAGCACGAAACGTGTTCGAACGTGAATATTTGTGACTGGTTGTCAAAATCGATGGTCGCAAAATCTAAGAATCGAAAAACAATGACGAATTAATAATCAGTATTTGAAGATCTATTGGAAACGTCTCATCAATGTCACAAATTGCTGAGGAAATTGAAATTTGTTGTACAGTGTTATTTATTAATATTCGACACGTTGGATAGTGGCCACCGTTCTGTAGGACTCCTTGCTCGTTAGCCCTCTTTATTAATTACTATAATGCCTGCAGCAGCCGCCGCCGCCGCCGCCGCCGCGTTCTCTTTTAGAAATGATTCACAGATTTTGTTAGTGTGTCGATCAGTCCCTCAGATTCCGAAACTGGCGTAGGACTAGCGTTAGCATAGCACCAAATTTCGACTATCTTTAGCATGGACGGAATTATTGGGCACTGACGATTCTGTTATGCAAAATATCCCGCTTCGCCACCCCCACGAATTGCCCTGCTATGCATGTTTATTTACTACTACTAGTGTTCTTAATATCTGTAGCCACACTTCCATTTTATATACGCTGATCGTTCTCGTTTACGGAGGAACTCGGTTCAATAGACAATTCCGTATATTAAATATGTTTGTTACAGAAAATATTATAAATATTATACTCAATATAAATATAATATTATAACGCATACTATTTTATAATATATTGTGACGAATTACTATATATATATTACATTCTAACGTATTATGATATATTATCTGTAATATATTAAGATATACATTACATTATAATATATTATGTTGTAATATATTATGATATATTATTAATATTTCATGATATATTATGACATCGTGCATATCATAATATCCATTTTATATACGCTGATCGTTCTCGTTTACGGAGGAACTCGGTTCAATAGACAATTCCGTATATTAAATATGTTTGTTACAGAAAATATTATAAATATTATACTCAATATAAATATAATATTATAACGCATACTATTTTATAATATATTGTGACGAATTACTATATATATATTACATTCTAACGTATTATGATATATTATCTGTAATATATTAAGATATACATTACATTATAATATATTATGTTGTAATATATTATGATATATTATTAATATTTCATGAATTTTGATAACTACAACAAATTTTTATAAATTTTAATCAATAATTTTAATGACTACAACTCAACGGGAACTCGGTTCAATAGACAATTCCGTACATTAAATATGTTTGTTACAGAAAATATTATAAATATTATACTCAATATACATATAATATTATAATGCATACTATTTTATAATATATTGTGACGAATTACTGTATATATTACATTATAACATATTATGATATATTATTAATATTTCATGATATATTATGACATCGTGCATATCATAATATATTATAATATTATTTTTATTATAATAT